TTGATGCAGGTCCGTGATGGCTGGCGTAAGAGACTCATGATTGTTCAACTTAGCTAGACCGAATTATAAATTAAGAGGTCGAAAGTTTACTCTGTAAAATCACTCCATCCTGCGTTGATTCTTATGTCCATGCTGTATTTCTCTACATACTATCATACTGATCACCCTTTCCCAATAATTATCACATATTTTAAATCCTTATATATATATATATATATATATATATATATATGTGTGTGTGTGTGTGTGTGTGTGTGTGTGTGTGTGTGTGTGTATTTAAATAACTTTTTTGTTGTACAAAATTTAAGGATAGCTAGGAATAAGCATAATTTATATGCTAATTTAATGTATATTTTAAAAGATGAAAAGAATAACCGGTTTCGTCCCAGCCTTTATTCTGAATTAAACGTGTAAATTTAATTGTTATTAATGATAACCAATGCAGGAAAAAAATATGAATTTCAAGAAGACTAAAGTCCAATAGCATTCAGACCCAATAAGCATTCCCTCTATTTACAGAGAGAAGGTCCACATGATCTGACATACAAGGACTCTCGAACCTTGAGGTGATATGAGGAGTGTGGCCTCGATAAAATAGAAAAACAGTCCACCCTAAATCAAAAACACAATTCCTACTATTTACAATATGCTCTGCAATTGAAGAGCCATATATATATATATATATATATATATATATATATATATATATACAGTGTAACCCGGATATAAGAGAAACCCGGATATAAGAAAGATTTTCTCTGGTCCCAAATTAGAGCCTGTGTTAATGTATATAAAACAGACCAAACCCGGATATAAGAGAAACCCGGATATAAGAGACTTCTTCTCCGCTCCCGACAACTCTCTTATATCCGGGTTACACTGTATATATATATATATATATATATATATATATATATATACAGAGAGAGAGTTAGAGAGAGAGAGAGAAACAGTAAGAGACAGGCAGACGGACAGACAGATAGCAAGAGACATCGATAGAGAGATAGAGAGAGAGAGAGAGAGAGAGAGATGGTATAGTTGTTTGTGCTATTATCTCTCTTCAGGCGTAAGGCTATATTTTGTGTCATTCAGAAACATCCGTTTTTATTTGAGTGATAAAAGGCAGGGAGAGTCTCCACAATTTCTTTTGAAAATCTTTTTCTTACCAATGCCCATATTCTTTCTTTCTTTCTTTCTTTAATTCTTGATTTTCTGTCTACCCTTTCTTTTTATCTTCAGTACTTACTTGCTCTCTTTCTTTCTTTCTTTCTTTCTTTCTTTCTATCTTTCTTACTTGATTTCTTTCTTTCTTGCTTTCTTTCTTGCTTAGTTTCTTGCTTTTCATCTTCCCTGCGTTCTTGTTTGCTTACTTTCTTGCTTCAGTTCATTCTTTCTTTTTTTCTGGTTTGCTTTCTTTCCTTCTTACTTTCTAGTTTTATTTCTTAATTTCTTTCTTTCTTTCTTTCTTGCTGTCTTGCTTTCTTTCTTTCTTTTTTTCTTTCGTTCTTTCTTTTCCTTTTTCTTTCTTTTTTTCTTTCTTTCTTTCTTTCTTTCTTTCTTTCTTGCTGTCTTGCTTTTTATTTTCTTTCTTTCGTTCTTTCTTTCTTTCTTGCTGTCTTGATTTTTCTTTCTTTCTTTCTTTCTTTCTTTCTTTATTCGTTCTTTCTTTTTCTTTTTCTTTCTTTCTTTCTTTCTTTCTTTCTTTCTTTCTTTCTTTTTTCTTTCTAGCTTTTTTCTTTCTTTTTTGTTTGTTTTTCCACCCGCTTTCATTCATTCATTTTTGCTTTCTTTCTTTCTCTCATTCTTTCTGGGTGACTTTCATTCATTCATTCATTCTTTCTTTCTTTCTTTCTTTCATTTTTCTTGATTTTTCTTTTTTGTATTTCAAATACCACTTTTTAAAATGCCCAAATTTCTTTTCGTTTATCTGAAGAATTTTCCTGTTACAGAGTTTTCTTTTGATTCCACATTCTCACAACTTTACATCGATATTTCTTTACCCTGATGCTGCTTATTTCAGTAGCGTCTTCCGTCATCCAATTCCAGGTTACCTTAACACACCCACGCACTGTTCTTTTACTCGGAAGTACATATTTCGTCATCTTTCGTTCTCATTTGCAGTACCGTTCAGTAAATCTCATTTGCGCATGCGTACACATATTCGTCTAAACTCATTCTCTCGTCTCAATTATTCAACTAATCCATATTTTATAGATTATAACCCTTGAAAATTCCCTTGTCATATATGACTCATCTATTTTTGACAACATTTGCTGATTTTTTTGTCTTTCCAACGTTTGTTTTATTATTATTATTATTATTATATATATATATATATATATATATATATATATATATATATATATATATATATATATATATATAAAATATAATAAATTATTTTTAAAGTTACGCGATCCCGGAGTTCAAAATAATTATCAGATGGTGTGCTTGCCCGTTTAAAATGATTTTTATATACACAGTGTCTCCCAAAATGTACTAACACTTTAAATGGCAATATATTCAGTATTTATTGACTTGGAAACAAGATAAATCGTTACAATTAAGAAATATTGATGTTTATTGACGTACAGCGATTAATGGTTTAAATTAAATATTAAATTAGATTAAATCCAAGTTTATAAATATTCAAATTGACGACCATCACTTTACAAACACAATCTAGAATGATTACCAGTGGATTCGGAGAAGGGTTATCAGTAATTTCCCTTCTTTTGTGATGTTGGAAGATGACTGTGGTGTTCCTGAATCTTAATTATGAGCGCCGTAAACAGTGAAATCTGCTTCAAACTTATCTTTGATATGAGTAATGGCGTGTTTCGTTCGGTGACCTATGAGAAACTATTCAAATTGTTTTTGCACTCCTTTTCATGTTTCCGTCTTTCCTGTAATGCCTTATGACTAATTTTCTTTCTTCAAACACTCTTTTCATTCTTAAGTTACACGGGATCTGGGAAAAAAAAAACAACGACTTTTTGGCATGTTTGGGGACATACAGTATATTTCGTTTCAACGAGCCACTCATTTCTTTTACAAAGCACTCTATTTTTTATAAATAAATGTTTAGATTAATCTAATATAATGTCTTTAAATATGGATGGAACTAACTTCTTGCATGTGGAGTACCTCTTTTGGCGTTGGTGGCTCTCAACAACTCCCTTTCTTTGAAACTCTTAGTAAATTTTGTGTTTTTGCTACCTCTCCTGATTTCTGACTAATTCCACTTCCCCTGTGTTGCTCTTATTTTTAATATGCCCTGTGAGTGCCGAATTTTCCAACTCTTCTTTCTACATTTTATACCATAAAAATTACAACTGCTTCTTTCTGATTATAAATATTATTGTCTTTTTTGCTTTTATTTTCACTGAAACTTCCTTGTTATTCATATGTTCAGTCCATGACATTCTCAGCATCATTCTGGAGAACTATATGTCAATCAATGAAAAATTCTTCTTCATTGTTTTGTTCAACATTCATTGGCATTTATTCAAAAGGATATACACTTAGGTTTTCGTTGTTTTTTTCTGTCCCGTCTTGCTTTCAATCTGTCATGTAAGTATCAGATTTTCCAAGCCTTCTTTCCTCATTAAGTGTCCTAGAAATATTAATTGTAACTTGCTGATATTGGGTATATGTTTCATTATCGTTTCCATTTTATCTAAAACTTGATCCTTGCTCACATAGAATCCAGAACATCCTTCTGGAGAACCACATTTCTGCCACGCCTTTCAAGAGATTTCCAGAATTCGCTGACATATAGGTGTATATGTAAGAGTTGAGTACTCTGTTTTTTTTTTCTGTTTCTTAATATTCTGATTAGCTTTTGGGTGGCATCTTTGGCTTTCCTAATGCACCTTTGAATTTCAATGTCGAGCGTAACTTCCTCTGTTAAAACACTTCTCAATGCTGTCATATATGGTCTGGAGCCCCTTCTGTTTGTCTCGGGGTTCTTGATAAGATCTACAGACGGATATGCAATGTAATTGCCCTGATCTGGCATCTCGTCTGCAGTCGCTTTCTCACAGACGTGCCGTCGCCTCTCTCTGTCTTTTTTATAAATACTTTCATGGTAATTGCACCGATGAGCAGCTTTTACTGGTTCCATGACTTCATGAATTCAAGCGTCCCACGAGGCTGGCATCCCGCTCTCAGCCTTTCACTGTTGAAACTGTTAAATGTAGCCGTCTCTTCTACTCCAATAGCTTCATGTCTCGCACCTCTCGTCTGTGGAACTCCCTCCCTTTTTCTTGTTTCCCTGATAGCTATAATCTTCAACTATTCAAATGTAATGTCAATCGACATCTCCAGTTGCCTTGATCTATCCACTATCCTTCTCCTCATACTTTCCTCTATCACTCCTATCTGATCTCGCTCCAAATCCTCTGGAAGCCCATTGCGTTCTAATGGCTTCCGCGCCTTGCTTGGGGTGAAATGCTTAAAAAAAAAAACTCCTTAAATTATTGAACTTGTTTGATTTTGGCATTTTCAAATTGCAATTTGCATTTTGGGGTCATCCTTTTGCTAAAACTGTGTATTCCTGAACTTTCATCTCGCTTTCCTTCATCACCTTCTGTAGTTGATCTTGTAGTTTCCTTACCGTATGTTTCTTCCTTTTATAGTTATTTCAAATTAATCTAATTAAAAATTTAAGATAAACTAAATATTTCTAACAGGCTAAATTTGTTTAAAAGAAAACTTAGAAATTATTTCGTATAATTAACTCCATTTTAATTAGGTTTAACAAGTAACAAAACCTAGAAACAATAGTTTGAGATACACGACTCATATATAATTAATATTTCTATTTAGCAGATGTAAATTTATATGCTTTTTAAAATAATTTCAAGGGGAGACAATCTCATTAATACTCAGACCCTGCGAACGTACTTGTAGAACCAACAGAAAAAAAATAGCTTTATATTTTCTCAGCTGTCGTAATTAATGATATTTTCCTAAGTGAATTCTAGCATATTTGGGATTCCGGTCATATCACGTTGAAACGATGGTTCCCATCCGACCACCGAAATAAAGCAATGTCGAGTCTGATCAGTACCCAGATGGGTCACCGCTTTGGAATGCCAGCTCCTGTAAGTCTGGATGAGCGGGTGGTGTAATGAATAACTGAAACGGAAGTCGAAGAGCAGAGTTCTAATTCCAGTCAGGTCCGCTATATTCACTTCCGCACAAATAACCCCGGGAAAGGTGTGATTCCATCACTTCTCCCTACAGCTATGGGTAAATAGCAGGAAATCTGGGACCTGAGTTCGAATTGAAGTCGGGTTTGTTATATACACTTACGCAAAAGTACCCTCGAGAAAGGTGTTAATACATCAGTTCATCTCCTAGTTATGGGTAAATAGCAGGAGAGTGTGGCCCTACAATTCTGTTTAGCAATCGGTCTAGGAAAAGCTAACTTCCTTTCTTCAACCAGCTACACGTTAATTACTAATTCGGGTACTTGTAAATCATTATTATATCCAAAGTTTTTTACAATCTTAAAATGTTTACTGGCTTTAAATAACTTGCAAATGCATGATAAACCGTAAAAAATCAATATATCAATCGATCTATGAAGTATATGTCATTATCAAAAATTGTGCCAATACTACAAATAAAGTAACATGTTACCGTGGTGAATTTGAACGGGTACATTAAATAATTCTGGCGCCGTCTGGCGTAAATTTGGCGTCTCGCGACGATGACCGACCAAACTCGAGGTGGAGTAATTGATATCGGCTCGGATTGAAGAATCGGAGGGCCGAGTTCGAATACCAGTCGAATCCATTACGTTCACTTACGTGTTAATACCCTTGGGAAAGGTATGAATTCTCGTCTTATCCCCCTAGCTATGTGTAAATAGCAGGACAGACCAGGTTCTAGATGGCAACTGGTATACCGAAGAAAGAAATGGCAAAATGTATGGAAAAACATAACTGGCTGACAGTAAATAATATTTTCAGTACCAGGGAATTGCTTGTCATTTTATTCATCTTGACTGATTGTGCATACCTATTCATGTGCGGAAGTTGTGAGGGCGGATCGTGTCCAGTTGATTCTTGAGGTAACTAAGTCCACTTCGGTGTCATATGGCCATAAGCGTCGAGGTACCGAGAAGAAGGACTCATTAGAGCAACTGAAAAAGAAACATAGACTAAGCGAAGCGGGAGGTTATTTTTACATATGACCCCCTGTTTCGGAATAGACTGCATAGGATGCCATCCACCAAAATCAGTGGCCGACGTAACAGCTTGTATAGTATTCCCGCCAAGAGTTTATCTTGTAATAAATATGGCGACAAAGATGAGGACAATAGTCAGAATAATGTAAATAGTGTACATAATACGTCATCTCAGAAATATAGACAGATACTGAAAGGCCGAAACGTTGTAATAAATATGGCGACAAAGATGAGGACAATAGTCCGAATAATGTAAATAATGTACATAATTCCTCATCTCAGAAATATAGACAGATACTGAAAGGCCGAAACGTTGTAATAAATATGGTGACAAAGATGAGGACAATAGTCCGAATAATCTAAATAATGTACATAATACCTCATCTCAGAAATATAGACAGATACTGAAAGGCCGAAACGTTGTAATAAATATGGCGATAAAGATGAGGACAATAGTCCGAATAATGTAAATAATGTACATAATACCTCATCTCAGAAATATAGACAGATACTGAAAGGCCGAAACGTTGTAATAAATATGGCGACAAAGATGAGGACAATAGTCCGAATAATCTAAATACTGTACATAATATCTCATCTCAGAAATATAGATTAATAATTTATTGCTGAGGTCCATGTACCTGGTATAACCTTATACTACGTGTCCGGATGAACATATTGAGCTTTGTATATTCTTATCTTGTGTTGTGTTGTCGACATTCTGCTCTTTCAAATAGTAATAATTATTATAGAAATTCCTGTGAAAATATGTTTTTCCCTTTTGAAATTTCTGAATAAATTTGATTCTTAAGTTAATGACTGAATAAACTCCTTGCGAGTTCACGACTATGAATTATCTATGGAGATTCCCCTAATTCATTTTGAGATAGTTGGCTTACCAACAAAATATTGCAAAATTGCATCATATGAATTAATGCAGGTCATTATTTACAGCAGTCGGTACGAATTAAAAACTGACAAGGCTTTCCATTTTAATGCTGCAGACGTAAAACACAAGACAGATAAACTTTGTATCTACGCTGATGACACTAATATTTACTCCTGTTTCGATAGAAAATCGCATCTGTTCGATAAGGTCAAAATGATATCCGATGTTTTACACGACCCCAGGCTGTTGTTAAGGGGGCAGGATTTGCGTTAAAACTTTGTGTGAAAATTAACACTTGCGTGTTAATTTTAACGCCTTAAAAACTAAACTGCTATCTGTCGATCATTGCAAGGCCCATCTGTCTTCAGTATTCTAACTTAGTATCTATTTCCTTAATAAGCAAAGCGATATTCTAATTGCTTTTCTTTCTTTTTTTCTTTCTTTCTTTCTTTTCCCTTCCTTTTCCAAAAACAAACAGCGCCTATATTCGATTAATGCTGGAAAATAACTCAACCGATGGTGAGAAAACGGGAGGCAAGAGAAATTTCGATCTGCTAAAGGATAATTAGAATTCTGTAGATGGAGTAAGAAGAAAAAGATATAAGACAATGATTTGTCTTTTCTTCGGATTTATTTAAACTTCACAGTGCTGCGATTCTGAGAGAACTAGGTGTCCTATCAGGATTCATTATTAGCGGTCACAATCTTAAAAACATAAGATATGCAGATGACGCAATTTTGATACCAGAGGCAGTAAACTACAATAAATCCCACAGAATCTGGTGATGGAAAACTATAAGAAATGACTAAAAATGGACAGAAAGGACATAACTAAAATGAGAAGGCGCTTTCGATGGCTAAAGATGCCTTCAAAAAGTAAGAAAAGTATAAGAAACAAGAAAGTTTCATTAGAAACAAAGGAAAGACTAGTGAACTATTAAGTAATATCAATGTCTTCAAGGACACATGGCACAATGGATAAAGGTGTTGGTTAGATCCGGTGACGATATTCAGTAACCCCCCCCCCACGAGGGTGTCATGTGGCACAAGGCCTTTTTAACGTGGGCATTCCCGAGCCATTAGGATCGGCCAAAAAATAGCCCATTTGAACCCGTATAAACGGGTTCAGGGCCGGTTTTACCTCCCCGAAGGAGACTCCGCCCTTCGGCGGAGCCTCCTTCGGGTTCCTCCCGTCCGTAGGAAGAGAGTTTAACCGAACAGTCGGTTCAAAAGTGAATGACTGACTGACTGGTTAGATCCAGTGACAGGACCCAAAGAGTGTAAGTTCAATAACCGCTTAAGGCAGTGGAGAACTTTCAGAGGGAAATTAACAAGAGATAACTGATAACTGACATCCATTAAACATTGCACGTGGAACTAGAACAGTCTACCCCAGTGAGCGAAATAAAGGGTTCAGTTCAACATTCCAACCAACGGAAGAAGTCCGGAGCGTACAACGGCAGAAACGTTGTAATAAATATGGCGACAAATATGATCACAATCGTCCGAATAATGTAAATAATATACATAATACATTATCTCAGAAATATAGACAGATACTGAAAGGTCGAATCGTTGTAATAAATATGGCGACAAAGATGAGGACAGTAGTCCGAATAATGTAAATAATGTACATAATACCACATCTCAGAAACATAGACAGATAATCAATCCTCCTATATTGCAGAACAAAAAAAATTATGAAATAAAACATTATGAAAGTATGACCAACAATACCAACAATATAATTTACCAACAATACAATTTTAAAAGATACTGACAAGCAACTGGCTTTATATTAGAATTACCAACAATAAATTCTATAACAAAATGACCAACTGTGCATTTTATAATAAAACGGCCAACAAAACATTCTATCTGTAGTTGAAGACATACAATTCTATTCGAAAAATATTTAGCTGAAGACATAAATGTATGTTCAAAATATTTATATTTTGGCGTTAAATAAACCATTGATGTTGATATGGCACTAAATAAAATCAACCAACTAACCAAATGATCGGAAAAGCTTATTAAATATTTGCCTATGAAAACTAATCAATAGTTAATAATCAATTTTAATCGCGCAGCTATATTCTGAGGATTAGATTTTTCGTACAGTACCCTATTATTGGATTGAGGAATCGACGAGCTGAGATCGAATCCCAGTTGAATCCATTGTATTCACTTACGTGTTAATAAACTTGGGAAACATATGAATCCCCTTCTTCTCTCCACCCACTCTAGCTCTGAGTAAATAGCAAGACAGACTGGGTTTTTTAGCCTTGGAACTGATCAACCGCAGAATGAAATGGCAACCTACTGCGGGGAAAATATCTGCCTCGTCAGTCATGTACGGAAAGATACATGATCGCCTAAGTGTGTATCACGTATTGGAAATAACTAAGTGACTCTATTGTTTGTTTATACTTAATAACAGTGATGTTAATTGTTCAAAGTTGCGCAATTTTTTTTTCAAATAAAACCTCATCAATTCTATCATACCACTTGCTTAACAATGGTATAATGCCAAACTGACCTGTGATGTGTGATCAAAATAACAATTGCCTGTCATTTATAGCCCTTATTATTTTTTTCAATTTTCATCTCTCCCAAACTTTTCACTTCCATTCATTCACCTAACCTAACCAGGTAGGTTGTGTTGCTGTTTCTTGAATCTGTCATGTGCGTACCAAAATTCTAAAGACCTTCTTCCACACAGTGTGTCCCAGAAATCTCAACTGTCTCTTCCTGGCGTTAAGCATAATTGTCTTTATCGTTGTCATTGGCTCCAGAATTTTGTTGTTGCTTATTTGTTTGTTCCATGGTATTCGTAGCATCCTTCTGTAGAACTACACTTTTACTGCTTCAAATCGTTTCTTCAGACGTAAACAAACAACAAAAACAAGATGTAAAAATTAAAAGAAAAACAAGTAATCAAATATTAAAATGAAATCTGCCCGTCAGACATCTTAACACATCGTTTTCGACGAAAACAACCAGCAACAATATTAGCGC